TCAGCCAAGACAGTTCTAAAACATCCAGACACATAAGGTACTCAGGACATATCTCATCCACCCCTGGGGCCCTGCCACCGACAAGCTTTCTAACTACCTATGCGACTGAAGCCTGGCTGATGGGCGAGTGCGTCTCTAACCTCGAAAGTCAGAGAAACCTCAGAGTTTTTGCCTCCGCAAGCACACGAGCAACAGCCGCATCCACCAGACATTCCCAACAGACCCTCACAACAAGCTTAGGCCTGCCAGGTCTGACTGGATTCCTCCCCTGCCAGTGGAACCAGGTCACCACAGAGTGGTGATCGGTTGACAGCTCAGCCCCTCTTTTCACCCAAGTGTCAGAGACATGCACCTGGACACCAGAAGACACAACTACAAAGTCGATAACTGACCTCCAGCCTAGAGTGTCCTGGTGCCATGTGCACCCATGGAGGCCCTTGTGCTCGAACATGGTAGACAGAGAGGCCGTACCTACTGATCACCCCAGTTCAGGTATTGCTGTCACTGCCCACGTGGGCTTTGAAGTCCCAGAGTAGAACAATGGAGTCCCCAGTTGGAGCACCAACTAGTACCTCTCCCAAGCACTCCAAGGGGATGGGTTAGATGCAGAAAATAAAATTCATTGCTCTGTACTTGTGACAGTGGAATGACAATAAAATTGAATTATTATTATTATTATTAAGAAGGCCAGGAACTGCATCAATGTTGGGCCCATAGGCTGAGACAACGGTGAGAGACCTGTCCCCAACCTGAAGGCATAGGGAAGCGACCCTCACATTCACTGGGGTGACCTCCAACACATCATGAATAAGCAAGGCCACCCCAGCTCACCGCCTCTCACCACGGGCAACACCAGAGAAGTGGAGCGTCCAGCCTCTTTCCAGGAGACGGGATCCAGAACCCAAGCTGTGCATAGCGGTAAGCCCGACTATATCCAGCTGGTACCTCTCCACCCCCCACACAAGGTGGGGTCCCCACAGGGCCAGGAGGCTCAGTCCATTTAATACCCTGACTTTGGGGCTCTCATCCTGTTCCACCTTGGGTGTGATCTGCCCCCAGCGAAGCCCATGGGTCCCTGTCGGACCTGGGCACTATGGCCTTTGGGATTTGCCCCCTTTAGGGACTGAGCCTCTTTGGCATTTGGCCCTTTTGGGGGGTCGTTCTCCGGATGCTCTTGTCTTCCCTTCTCTGGTGGGTGTAGCCATTCATATGACTGCCGCCTTTCTGTCCCAGTTATCTGGGGTGCCTCTGGATATCTTGGGCCTGGATCACCTCTTCATCGGTCTTGGGCCCTGTAGGGCATGTCTGGGGATGCCCACACCTGCAATTAAGCATATTTTCCTACTGAAGAAACTTTTAAAATCCTTTATTCACGAGCATGCCCTTGCATACAAACCACAGGAGTTTGGTTCCAGATTCCCACGGATACACACAAATACTAAACACTAAACTACAGCTACATATATATATATATATATACCACCCAGAATAATATTGTGTAATCTAGTTTTGCCTTTCACACACGTTTATATCAATGGGATACCCATACCCACTGCTCTTTAAGCTTTTTTTTTCATATTTACTTTGGTTGTCTGTTGTCTTCTCTTAGCTGTTGTTATGTTCGCTGTTGGGCTGCTCAGTGAAACGGTGGGTAGCATTGCTGCCTTGCAGCAATAAGGTTTGGGGTTCAATTCCTGGCTCGGGGTCTTTCTGCATGGAGTTTACATGTTCTCCCTGAGTATGCGTGGGTTCTCTCTTGGTATTCCGGCTTCCTCCCACAGTCCAAAAACATGATTGTTAGGTTAATTTGCTTCTCTAAATTCTCGTGTGTGAGTGAATGGTTGTTTTTCCTGCACCCTTTGCGACCCCGCTAGGGATAAGCGTGACAGAAGATGGATGAATGTTTTCTGTTCTTCTCACATCACATAATGTAAAAACATATTGCTAGGAGTTGTCTTTTTTTGCATTTTTGTTTTATTTTCTCTCTTTTCATGGACAAAATAGGCAATAAGAATTAAGTGGAGGAAGAGACAGGAGTCTCTGTCTCTTTCTCCGCTTAATTCTTATTGCCTATTTTTTCTCACCTCCCTTTCCGTCTATTGTCCGTTGTATACGATTTTACCCCTAAATAATCAAGTGAGAATGCATTATTTCATTCTCTCCTATTGTTTTCCTGTTTCTCTTTTTCCATCTCTAACTAGGCCCGCATACTTCATCCGATTTCAACATTTTGGTATCAAAACGTTCAGCTTCTTCTGGAAGGTTATGCTATACATTTTGGTAATTTCAGCTATAATAATTTTTGAAATATTGAGCTTTGTAATACTTTTTTTTGACCCATAGAAATGAATGGGATTCTGCCAAAATTCCACTAAAACTTCAGATATTTTGCCCTTTAACTACTTCTGCATGCTTTCAACTAGAAATGCCATTCAAATTTTAAAACGATTCTACACCCTTCGGCTATTAATGTTTAACTCAGCTTTTTGCTATTTTGTTAGTTTTGCTTCAGTGAATCTCCAAACTTTTTAAGTTTTTTAAAAGATTTTTGGTTTTATATGGAAGTGAATGACAGAATCTTTGTGCTCCTAGAGAGGGCCACTCTAGCGCTTTCAAACATTTTACTTTTGCAAACAACTTCTGCTTACTCGCTAAATGTTCTAAGTACCCATACACAGGGTTCCTACAGCATAAGGCAAGTTAAATTCAAGACTTTTTAAGACTTTTTAATGCCACTTGAAATAAAGATTTAAGACCAAATTCACAAGAAACACAAGAAAAACCTGCTTGTGACAACTTTACCCAAAGGTTTATTTTAACATAAACCACTCACTAATGTTTCAAATTTTGAAAAGCTTCCCATACAGGAAGAAAGCTAAAAACACACAAATTACAGATATATTTTAACAATTATTTAACTGAATTCACAAACTTTGTTTTAGCAGGGAACAAAACAAATCAGTTTTAAAGCCACAACATAACCAGTGCTAAGTCTTTTTTGCTGCTATTTTTCTTTGTATCGTTTTCTTAGTATGTTTGATTTGGTGATAAGTGGAAGCCTTGCAGAGACAAGGGTGGAACAAAACTGAGAAATACCGGCTGTTTCTCGGTAACTCGATTAAGACGCTTTGTGTTTCGCGCTTCGCATGTGCGACTCCACTGCCTTAATTCCCATCGTTCTGAGCTTGAATCGCTTCTTGCACAAAATCCACCGTGCCTCATGTATTTTCCATGGTTTTAGCCATGGAGAAAACACTTGGCTGGAGCCAATATTCTTTACATTTACACTATTTTCCAGACAAAAAGTTAATGGTGCATCTCTCAAATGTCCCGGCCGCAACAACGCTTTTATTGGTTCCGCTATAGGGACGGAACCAATAATGGAGATCCATCATTTTTTTTTAAAGAAAAAAAAAATGTCAATGTTAACGTTTTATTTAGATTACAAAAATAAATCGTAATAAAAATAATCCTATTTATGATGTTTTAAAAATTAAGACCTACGAAAGACTGATTTAAGACATTTTAATACCAGTTAAGGCCTTACCGTAGTTTTATTTTGAAGAATTCAATGCCTTTTAAGACTTTTTAAGGACCCGCAGGAACCCTGCATACAAATTATACATCAAAACACAGGTATTTTTTTACAGGTGCGTGGCTTCAGGTATTTAGAGATTCACTTCCATACAGAAAGCCCATATTCTTTTCTTTAGCTACCACAGTATACATGTCAGATTGAATGATACAACTTATACTTCAGCGATAGTATCATTACTTTATTGTATGTCTTGTGCCATCTCCTTTGGGTGTGCTGTTCTTTTTACATCTCATCAGGTGATGAAGCAGACTGAAGATGTTTTATCATTATCTCCCTTTTATATCCTCTTTCTTTCATCTTTTTTCTGTTTTTCTTGTGCTGTCCTACTTACATTGCAGTGTCCATATAATCTGTAATAGTCCCTGCATAATTATAATAAAGCTATTTATATGCATAAATCAAACAGAACACTATGGTGATAGCCGTACTGCTCCACTTGTGAAAGTAAAATCTGCTGGGCTCTTTTTGGCATCAAGACAATTATTTTTCTTGCCACATGGTCAGACAAGACATGGTAAAAAAAAAAAATAAAAAAAAATGGTAACACTCATTGGTGTGGGATTTACAGTTTTCCTACAGTTTGGACTAGACCACCAAGAAGTCCAAACTCCCTTAACAGAAATTCAAAGGGAGAGTTTTCAAAAATCACAGAAGAAAATCCAAAACGACACATATTTTCGTATTGCCGCCTCTTCTCAACCCTTTGATGTACAAATATGAAACTTGGTATGAAACATCTTCAAACCCTTCTAGCACTCACGTTGAAGGAATTTTTTAAAAATCATTTACGGTTTAGCCTTCTTAGCAGAAATGTTTGGGCACATGAAAGTGTTGATTCTGTGAAAAAGCCTCAGCCTCATATTAAAGAAATGTTGCCATGCAGTTGGATTGTATCTATTTAAGTATTATTCTTACAGTTTTCTGTCCTTTCCTCTCAGAGTATACACACCCATTAGCTCATAGAGTGCAGTGGCATGTGTTGCATTTCTAAAATTAAGAGTTTGTTGTTTTTTTTATCTATAATCAGCCATGCTTCTGCCATTTGCTTCTTTCTGATTCCTCTATTTTCAGGAAGGCTTTTACTATTGCTCATTCCTAATACTTTACCAAAGTTTTGTTTCCAAGTTTAGCTTATTTCTCAAGTAATTCTCTGTTCATATTTTACATTACTTCAACTTTTCTACACTCTAATCAAGCTTCTTATGTAGCACTAAGCTGCTCATTCAATACATTATTCAACATTTTAGTCAATAACCTTATCCTAAACTTTTAGACTTAGACTTCTTTATTTGTCATTTTGTATGCACAGGGTGCATACAGAACGAAATTGCGTAACATACAGCTTATGAACGTTGCATTGATATTTCAAATGGCACAAGTTATAGAAAAATTTTATTTCTTCAACCAGATGAGATTCATGTTTGTCTTGCTAATTTATTTTCTGATTCTGTTAATTTAATACATTTCCGCCTATATTTTCAACATTAGCTTAATTCTGCTCTTTTCTGGACAGGCATTAAGCTTTTCTGTTTGTTGCCAATTCATAACATGCCCGACATGTTTCTGCTGTTGGCTTCACCTTGCTTCTGCTATTTTCCAACAAAGAAATTAAGCATTTATCTTTTCTTCTATTTCATATAATTTCAACCGGACACAAAAAACAAAAAAAGAAACACAGAATCAATATTTACTACCAAAACTCTAAGATTCTTTATCTTGGTGTTGGTAACAACTGAACATGTCAAATCTGTTCACTTTATTCTTTGGCAGAAAAAGCAGAGAACGATCACTAAAATAAAAGGGCGTTACAGTCACAAACACAAGGCACAGCAGCTACAGGTACAATTATTGTGTTCTGGTTGTTTCCTTTTAGTCCCACAACATATTTTTACAGATAAAGACCAAAGACCTATGTGTTCTATGAACAGATGTGTTATCACCAAAACAGAACAGGCTTGATGTAAAGACCTGTAACAAAAGTCTGCTGTGTTGACAGAGATGGGAATCAGAATTAGTCTTGTTTTCTAAATCATTCTCGATATAACATGTGTACTTTAGTTCAGTGTGTGTACACAAAATCTGGTTTACCTCTTTTGCAGTATCTTTAAGAAAAAAAGTTCCATATTCTGCAAATAGAGAGTGGTAAACTCCATCTTCTCCAGCATTTCCAGGGCAGTTGAAGCACAGAATAGTGCAGACACAGAGTTCACTGATGTCCTTCAGATATAGTATATCCCTTTTGTTATTTCAAAAACGAATACATCTTTACAGGTATATGATTCATCAAATGGTACAGTGTCACACATATCTGTGTTATATGTAGTATTATAATAAAGCTGGGTTAGTCCCAAAACTGTGTTTGCATTTCAGCTTGTTTTACCACATATTGTACAAATGTACATACTGTCTCCAGACTGCAGAAGGCTCCCCACTTGTTTGGATTTAGTCTGTTTTGATACAGAAATGAAAAAGAAAACTGTTCATGTTTAGGCAAAGGAATAATAGCAAAGGTCAATTTTCTTCTGGTTCTTCCATCTGTTAAAGGGTCCTTAGCAAGTTTCCCGGTAATATTTAATATCTGCAGATGCAATGGAGGAACAACAACAGAATGCTGAAGGCACCCTGAAGCATTTGGCTGGGAGTTGGGGCCAAGTTTGGGAGACTGTTGGAGGGAAGAGTGCCATGGCCAACCAGGAGTTTGTTTCCCAGAGCCTGAAATGGAGAAAAAAGTATTTACACTGCTGTGCTAAAGACCAAGTTCACATGTTCTACTAGTTGATAATGTCAAATTTGAAGAGTGTGTTTTGAAATAAAAAAATATAACCTTTAAATTCTGTACTTTTTTACTACTTAAAAACAGAGATGGGAAGTAACGAAGTACAAATACTTCGTTACTGTACTCAAGTAGATTTTTCTGATATTTTTACTTTACTTTACTACTTATTTTTATGGCGACTTTTTACTTCTACTCCTTACATTTCTACACAAATATCTGTACTTTCTACTCCTTACATTTTAAAAAATTGTCTTGTTACTTTAGTTTTGAATCATTTCAGTGGAGTTACCGTTATTATTTTTCACGTCATCAATACCAAATTCAATCTAATTGGATGGGAATCTACGTTGCATTTCACGCACCACTACAAGATGAATCAACAGATTCGGCGGTATTCATTGGCGGCAAATCATTGCAGCTTGGCGGCGGTGGCGTTAGCATAGTAGCATGGACGACGAGATGATTGAAAATGAACACAATGGAGATCTAGTCCTATTGGCAGACATCCATTTAAAATGTAGGCAACGGCATGAAAAAAGTGGTTTCTACTTTTACTTTTAAGTAAATTTACAAGCCTGTACTTTGTTACTTTTACTTGAGTAAAGAAGTTTAATCAGTACTTCCACTTTTACCAGAGTATTTTTTAACACAAGTATCTGTACTTTTACTCAAGTACGGAAAGTGAGTACTTTTGCCATCTCTGCTTAAAAATAATAATGATCATGTGATCGAATGGCAGCCTTTAGTGGGGAAAAAGTATTCAACTATTCACCGTAGTTAAATAAACAGAGATCGATGGATTTCACTCAGTGAACATTTATTCATATCTTTGCAATGAGAGAACAGTTCTGCCTGAGCAGCGTCCGTTCCCCCTTACTTTCAACAATGAAGTCAAAACAAATGTTATGGGAAGAAGCTATGTCTGGTCTACAAATACCCCTCACCAGAGAATGGTATGGCCTTGAAGGGGAAACAGACTGAGTGAAAACTTTTATAGTGAGTAAATAGGATAAATTAATATATAATAGAAGAGAAATCTAAATTTTCTCACAACAAGGCCATAATCAGCTAACTTGATCAGCTCTGACCATTGACAGGCCATCACAATCTTAAAGGTTAGGACCCATATTTACAAAGATTCTCAGGACAGAAGCGAGCAAGGGAGTGGCCTGTAAGGAGTTGTTGTTCAAATTTTAAGGCCAAGTCAACAGGTTTCTCAAAATCCTCTACTTCAGCCTCAATAATTGTATGTTATGTTGTATGGATGTTATATGTGTTCAGTTCTTACCTTCCTTATTAACAAGAAAAATTGAGGTATTTACCTATTTTTCTAACAAAATGGGATGATCAAAAAATGTCAAATGCTGCACTAAGGTCTAAAATATTATATGCATTATGCTTCTTCCACAGTCTTCTTTAAACGGATGTCATTTAACACATTAAAACTGTAGTCTATATACTGTGGTGAGCACAGAAGCCCAACTAAAAGGCATCAAAGCTGCTGGTCATTGTTAGGAGGATGTTAAGCTGCTGAAACAAAGATTTTTTCAGTAATTTTACTGATGAAGGGGAGGTTTGAGATGGGCCTGTAGCAGACATCCCAAGTTCCAAAAACTGATTTCCGGGAGATTATCAGAGATTAGTTCTGTAAGCACTCCAGTGGAAGTTGCTGCTGCCATAATGGATCTTGAGATCTTTTGCTGAGCCGTGATGCGCATGAACCATTGACTTTGCATGTAAACTAGCCGCTTTTGCTGCCATAGGTGTGAACGTAGCATAATTTCTGCATCTTTGGAGCTTTTTTGGTGAGTTTTAAAGGAAACATACATACCTGTGTAGGTATTACTTTTTCCAGAATGTTCCTTATAGTTTCAATGGAATGTGGCTGAGAAGTGCTGCTTTGATCGTTTTCTCTGTTGTTGCTTGTTGTACTGAGCAGTGTTTGCTGCTCCAATTCTTTCCCAAACATCTTCAGAGAATTTTCTGAAACAAACATTTTATAAAATGTTATTAGAGTTGGACAGTTCACAGTCTTACTAATTTTTTTTTTTGTTTTAAACTCTGTTATATAAATCACCTCCAATTTTTCATACATTTAGTTTCAAACCTTCAGTTTGACAAAACTATTTTTAAAAGGGGAGATTATGTACAAAAACAGTCAATGCTCAGTTTTCCTTGAAACAAGCACATTAACTCAACCAGCATTTTAAGAGAAAAAATATTACCTCCTATAAGTCAACAAGAAGCACATTAATTATTTAAACCTTAGTTAATGAGGGGCAAAACAGGCAAAGGGTCAGGATGGAAAATAGAGGAGATGAAGCACAACAGAAAATGGAAAGAAGTACATTATCATTTCAATAATAAGTCTGTTCATGAAACTAACATAAAGCAATCTCCTAAAGTTACTTTAAAATTACATTGTTTGCACCATGATTGGTGTACGTAACTTTTCGTTATCTAGCTCATGACCTACTACACCTAAACAACATATAAAATCTGTGATTTACAATTATAATCCTCTACGATTGAACTACCTCATTTTATTAAACATTTTGAGCACTCACGCATTTCCACAGTCCAAGATATTAATTCTTAGGTTGTCCACACTGTGTTAAGGTCATTCTGTATCTAATTTACAGAGTATATCTATATAAGCTTGGTTTTGTTACAGTGGCACTGTGTATGTTTGACCCAATAATTACCTTCATTTTAGTTAAAATAACTTTCAGACCAGAAACAGAGTGTAGGCTTCCCTTCTCAAACACATGCCTATTTCATCTGGAAAGGTTTAGTCTGTCACTTAGTCATGTGATCCAGAGCGCCACCCTAGCACAAGAGCTAACCCTGAGAGAGAGATGAGACAGATTGTTTGTTTTTGATGTAGGATTTAATATAGAGAGGTGAATATGGCCTTATCTTTACAAGTAACTCTGTGACTTTTCAATCCACAGATCAAAAGTGGTCTGCTACCAGATTCCAATTATTTGCAACAGTTTAGGTAATGCCAGTTGCTTTTAGAGGGGATAAACATGGAAATTACAACTGTAGCTTGCTTCAAATCCATGTTTGATCTTTTTATTACAAATAAAGGGGTTCTAGATTCATTCGTCCAGAATCTAGAAAGTCCAAAATGTCCAGTGTTGAACGATTATGAATTTACCTAGATAATATTCGTATAGAATGCACATAAAATACACAAAGAGATTGATAACTATTTTAGAAAAATATAAAATACATTACAGAAATGTGGAGGTAAAATCAGAGATTTTATATCCCCCCATCAGTTACAATGATTGTGATTCTTTTTATTAAATAGTAAAATATATAAATTTTGTGTTTAACTTTCTCTTGTTTTGAAGAAAGTGATGTAGCATTTTGGGTTGTTTCACCACTAACTTTCAGTACACAGAAACTGTATGTTGTTAACTGCTTTATAAAAACTATGCATTTCTTTGTCAATTAAAGATTTTTAAGTGACCAAAATGTAATGATTTAGCAGTTTAGTGTTTTTCTTCATTTGCTTTTATCTCACTCTTTGTGGTTAGTCTATTGACAGTAGTCAGGTAGAAATATTGGGACAAATAGACCTGACAGTTAGTGAACACATAATATTCAGAACATGCATTAATTATAAATGGACTAAGAACAACTGGACAAATCTAATTCCAATATACATATCCATAGCACAGTCTTACAATTTTTTTTCTAAATCTTAAGCATAAATTAATGTAGAGTTTCTCACTGTTACCAAAATGTACCACAACTTGCACCTTGTTCAGATATTCAACCATAAATATTATGCAATAACATAATGCATAACAGAAATGCAAATATTCCAAAAATGATTTACATAACTTGAGCCATTTAAATCCAAGTGTACAAACCAAACAAGGAGGACTCCACTCACAATACACATACTAAATTAAACACAGCAGCAGTAGTAAGATCCCAGATAACAGTCAAATTTCTGACCGGCTCCCTCCAGTTTTTTGGCAATTGGTCCTCAATTTCCTGAGTTAGTTTGCAGCATGAGTCTCTCACACAACTTGTAAGATTGTGCAGCTGCCTTAAAACATGTTGACTTGAAAGAAAATTGGAACTACGACCTAAAAGAAATCTTTTTTTACTTCTTAATTGCTGGAGTCTTGTACCCAAGTATTTTCCAGTTATGCAAAGTCTGGCTTCAGTGCATTTTGCCAGAACAAAGAAGCCACAGTTCTTTTGTGAAAAACTAAAGTGTATTTTTGAATTTGTTTTTGTTTTTTGTGGAACAATTAAAATTTCTCTTTTTTTGGATGACGTTGACAACATACCTAAGTTTTTGTGTAATACAGCAGTGATATGCAGTACCTCTATCATCCGAACTGCATGATGAGACATTGCCCTTTAGTTTATGGTTTAATAATTGCCAAATAATCTGTTGATTTGTCAAAGCAACTGTACATTCCAATTATATTTAGTTTTCTGCACTGTGGGCTGCCACTGAACACTGTGGGATTAAGACCAGGGAACTTGCAGAATGCAAGACCCCCTGCCCTAACCACCAGGCCATCACTCCCACACTTGTATGAGTAATGACTGTATCACTAGGAGCAAATTAAGAAAGGTAGTCAAATTACATCTGTAACATAAAAAATGTTCAACCGTTCAAATTGACATTGCACAGTTAACTCACAGGAGCCCACATGTAGGATGTCTTTGATTACAGGGCACTCACTGGAATCAAGACACATGAACTATGTGAGACTCCCAAAGGCTAACTGAGCTAATGGAATAGTTATAGTTTGGATTGCAACATAAAGGAAAAAAAGCAACCCACAAAGATATATTACAAGACCATATCATATTTGTTCCTTTAAGAATTACATTTAACATTAGATATGCTTTGCCAAATCTGTTTTTCCTTTTTGTCTGTACTACACTTACTCCTTTAATGCATCTTTTCCTTCATTTCTTTTCCTGTTGGTTATGTCAAAAGTTTTTCTTCCTTTGGAGCCTCCTGTCAATCAGAAACCAAGCACGTTTTTCTATAAATTTCTGCAGCCACAAAATACTCTGTGATTATACCATTGGGTCTATTTCTGTTGTTCCTGTTTTAGTTTATCCACATAATTCAATGTAATTAGTAAATACAGTTTTAATTTTTAATTCAAAATCAAATAGTCGCATGCAGCATGTATTTTAGTAAAGTTTTACTATTGTTATTAAACTTTACTATGTGTGTATATCGCTTTTTGATCCTACTCCACTTGCTGGAAACTCTTACATGGAATACAAAAAACACAAGCTTTATCCATTTATGCAAAAGAAGTGTAAATCCTTCTTCTTACACATAAAGCCCTAGATAATAAAGCTCAATTTCATATTAGAGAGCTAAAAACAAACAGGAAGAACAATAATGCATCTAACACAGAGGAGAGCACAGAGACTCAAAAACATTGTAATTCCATAATGTATGTGTCAGGGATTTCTTAGAAACTCAGAAGGATTTTCTCAAAGCAAAACATTGCGTTGAATTTCAAACCCAACAACATGCTCAGACAAAAACTGGTTCATCCTAAAGACAGAACAACCAAACCAAAGCTGAGCAGCCTTGTTTATGCAATCCACAAAAAACAATACACAAAAATAATCCATGTCTGTCAAGTCTTCGGATCCTTAGGAAGACAGTGAAAATGTTCCCCTTTCTCCGTGCAGCCTGGAACACTGCATTTACACCCATGGTTCTGGCTCACTTTCAATAGAGAAACTGCCTGCTTTGTAATTCTTGTAGAAGTAAACCCAACTGTAGGCTAAACAGCGATTTCGGGATGTGACAAAATTACAGGCCAGAACCAAATAAGGCAACAATCCCTGAATTGATGTCCTGGGCTTTATTTGGATTCACCCGTTTTATGGAGGAAGTTTAGAATTGTGAGATTTGCATAGAAAGGAGGTGTCGAAGGGGTTTGAACTTCTCTGTAAGTCCATTTCACACACTGAACTATCGTTATTCATCTATGACAATGTAAACTCGGTTTTGCATCCAATGACCCCTTTAATAAAAAGGATCAAAATCAGAGAAGTCAGAAATGCATTATGTGTACAGCTTCTTGAACTAATCACAGTTTGCTTTGATAGCAGCTGTTGGAAATTTTGCCCATTTTATTGGAAAATACCTCAAGCTCATTTTAATTGGGAAGAAGAAACTTGTGACAGTAATTTCAAGCCTTTTTACATATCCTGGACAAAGTCTAGACTTTGACAAATAAGAGGTAGGTCATATATCTCACTACTTTTCCCGCTACTGAAGAAAGCGTCATTCATTGGGACAAAAGCTGACCTGACCTTTTAATGAAATACATTTTAAAAATCACAAAAATATCTTCATTTTCTAAGAAAAGTAGTATCTATTAAGAAGAACAGCCTCCTCAATTTGCATTTTATAATACAACGTATTAATAATACAATGAGACTGTTATTACTTTCCGCATGTTAGTGTGGTACAACTTTCTTTCTTTAAAACCAAACTTTCCTGAAACCAAAATAATCTGTTTACATCCAACCTTCTTTTCCGAAGAAGAAAACTTCTTTGTAATCCAGAAGGCCATCCTAATCACAGAAGATCTTCTCATCCCCTTGGTCACTCATTTAAGCTGCTGCTATTGGCAGGAGGTTTAAGGACTCCAAGGCCCAGAAAGCCATTTACAAAACTCTGTTTGAAATACTCACCACTACCACTTCAAAATAACAACAGCACTTCTAACAGGTGTTTTTACCAGTAGCTTTTTATGTGTTGTAATTTTTTATGTGAATCTTGAAGTGTGTTTTGTATTTTAGCACAAAAAACAGTAGTCCTGCTACGATGCCGACAGGGAAGCCTCAGGCTTAATGGTTTTGAATTAACAACCCCCCTAGCCTCCTACCATTTGCAAATGGAGCCATGACCTGCTAGATTAGATATTCAACAATACTCCTTACCCCTCTTTCACAAAGACTTA